ATTTTGAAAATCGATTTTGAGTTGAAAATAATTGCGTGCGAGTCTGAGTTTGAGTCGTTGGATGTGATTTGGCAATTTGTGAAAACGTTATGAAGGAAAATATGTCGGTTGGGTTTGATTAGGGCAATTATGGCTCAATTGTAGCGAATAAAGTTAATAAGGGTTGTTCGATAAGATCAGCATAATTGTTGAAACGGAGTTTTGTGGTGGCCAGAGCGTCAAAGAAAGTGCGATAAGTGTATGCTTATGAAATTTTCAGTTATATGAAGATTAACGCGAGGGGTGCGCAAAAGATAAACCATAATTAGCAGGATGTCATTTACACTTGTTATTTAAAATTAAAGTGCTTTATTCGCAGATATTCATCTCTGCTTTCACCCTCGCTTTTTATATTAAAATAAACACCAGCGTACAGACGGTTGGAATTTTTTCGGTGGTTGATTGTTGAATAAATCTTGGAAATATTTCCGACCACGCAATATATTGAAATATGAGTTTCTGAACAAGTTTACACATTGTTAATGCAAATCAATTGCTTATGCTACCGACCACCTATAAATCAATTATGCCGTGATTTGATACATTAAGGTACTTGTCAAACGGATGATTAATGCCTTTCCTGATGAATTATTAACTTTTGATTCATGTGAATAATTGTTCGGTGGCAGTACATCACGCATTGCTGAAGAATCGTGGGAGCTGATAAACATCAGGGGCGTCGATGCTGTTTACACGCGCATTTTTAAACATTGTCTCATTAAAAAAGGAACAGAAAGTTCCGACTTGGTCGAAACAACGAGCAGACATTCGAAATATTTGTATTATGTGCGGAACAATGTGATCATAAAGCATTTAACAAAACGCAATCACATAATACACAAATACACTGACCAGTGACAACCCTGCGACCTGTGATCTCCACCGATTCCACTCCATGAATCATCCGCAATTCAGCTCCGATAAAAACACAAACACCCCCACGTAGCAAATGATATATTAATGAGTCGGGCTGAATAAAATTTTGACCGGGTCTAGGGCCATGTTCGACACAACAACGATTTAAATATAACGCTAGATAAATTTTCAAAGTGCTGGAAAATATTTCCGGTGCATTTTTCGATAGATCGAACGCAACCAGATATATACGCACACGGACCATTTATATTTGAAAGTTTTATTCGAAAAATATTGCCATACAACTTGTCAGAAAATAAAACAAAAGTTGATAAATTATTGATGGAGCTGGTCCGTCCGTTCGCCTAACAAAAGCATCTCATGTTATGACGATATATTCCGATAGAAGGTATTTGAGACGGTATTCGTGTTTTGAATCAGCTTCCGACAATTATTTTTTCGCGATATTCAAATGAGGAGTTTTCCGGAGTCTTGCCAACAATTCTGTAAACAAAAACGATCGAAAAATATGTCTGAGAACGTATTCTTGGAATAAATTTTATTTGCGATTTACAGTGCAGACGATACAAGCGGCAATAAATCAGCGTTTATAAATTTATCTGGGTTCTATTCTTCTTGAACCGCTTCACTTAGTTGGCTCGGCTCGTATCTCAGAGACCATGTCTGAGGATATTTATCCTGACATATAATACGCTGCTGTATGAAATTTGTCGCACCATTAAACACTCATGTATATGTTGGTTTGGTTGAGGCTTCCTCTCTGATTTTTAAAAGGATTGCCGCGGACTCAAGAGTCGCGACGCTAACGTCTGCCATGCAATTAGTTTGCCATGTACTGCACACTGAATATATTACACTGTTAAACACACCACATTTACGGCAAAACACCTGCTTCGGTTTCGCGACGATTGGACAACGGGAATTTTCATATTTTACAACACAAATTATTCAAGTTCCAACTCATTACAGCGACGCGAATTTAACTCCAGTCCTTATTTGCGATATTTGAATCACCTTGATTCCCTACCAAAGAAATTACATACAGGGTGTGAAAAATGTCAAGTAAGATATCAGGAACATGATGAAAAAATGTTTAAGAAATTCTATCTGTCAAAAATTTTTAACATTTGATTTTTTATGTTACCGATGGTTTTGTGTTTATTTTTTCACAATTATTCAGTAAAGGTACAAAAACTTTGCCAATACAAATGTTAAGCATAGTTACAATTCAGGATACAAGTTTTTTGTTTCCTGTTCTAATAGCCTGCAACAAAAAAATATGTAAAATTATTCTTTCAACTGAAATAAATAGGGTCAAAGTGCAAAATTTAAACCTCTATAATTTTGAAATTTTTTTAACATTTTATTTTGTTTCTGGTACCTATCTTGTCTTATGCGGCGCGAGTTCTAAAACACCTTGTACAGTCGAACAAAATGAAAATGACGCCTCAATAAACCAGCCCCTGCTGGATGACGACCCTTCTAACCACAAGCACGCAGGATCGTAAATTATTGGATTGCAAACTTGACGTAGTTTCAAGAAAAATTCCTTTAGTAGCCGGTTTACAGAAAGGGAAATGAAAATTTAATTAAGAATTAAACTAATTCGAATTAAGTTGCCATTTATTTTGCACTGACACACGTCAAATTAATTAAATGGAAATATTAAATTTTTTTAATGAAAAATTTAACAAACCATTTCTTAAAGAAAATTATGCATTAATAATGGCATTGACAAAAAAA